CCCATTCAAAAAAAAAATATTCTTATAAATTCAAACTCCCCTCCCAATCTCTCATACCTTCTCCATCTTCAATCTCTTCTTCTTCCCTATTTTTAAAATTCGAAATTACCCCTCTCTTTTCAACATGAATCCTTCTAGCTCCGGCTTCTTTCCCAACGATCTCCCGAGTGACGCTGCAATGTGGTTGTACAAACAGTGGGGCGATCGACCGCCGATCTACGAGACGCAACAATCGGGGTACGTCGACCGAGATCGGAAGAAAGAAGGCAAAATCCATTGCCTCTGGTTCGGGAGGGTCTGCCTCTGTTTCCGCTTCTCCCCGCGACGAAATCGGCCGGGCAATGGTTGAACAACTTCGGGCGTTCAATCTCCAGGAACAAGAGAGGTTGAAGCTAAAGGAGAAGGAGTTGAAGCTAAAGGAACAGGAGGCCGAGATGAAAGTCATGCAAACCGACCCCGAGACGTTGTCAGAGTTTGGACTAATGATCTACGAGCAAAGAATGAGAGAGATCAAGGAGAAATATAATTTACCTTAGTTTTTTTTATTAATGTATCTTTTTTTTAAATATTGTCGCTTTTTTTATTTAATTAATGTATTTTTTTATTATTCGTGTTTCAATTTAATTAAATAATAAATTAATTACATTTTATTAATTTAGTTTTAGAAGATGTATATTTAAAAATGTAAAAAATGAAGGTTTGAAGCCCCGAGGCTTCAAACCCATTTCCAGTGAATTTTAAGTGTAAGTTAAAACTGACGTGACAGAGAAAGAAGGTTTGAAGCCCCGGGGCTTCAAACGTATTTCCAATGCTTTAAGTACAAGTACTAAACATTGCTATTTCTTGTCTCAAAATTAATCATGCTATGCGGTGTATTTATCGTAATTATGTACGCGGTAGTGGGCCGGTAGATTGGGGCCAAGAATCTTTTTGTATTATGGAGTAATAAAAAGGATGGCTCCATGCTCGAGGGTCCCCTCAGACCCGGTCGGACGGTCTCTAAAAAAAAGTAAATTGGACTTTGATTGTAGATTGGTGAAGTGAAACTTGCAACTAATACTTGTAGGGACCCTATATTTAGTATTGTTGCCTCCGTGTAGACTACCTTGTCTTCTTCTTTTTCTCCTTTTCTTGTACTTCTCTCCTTTGTGAAGCCCCCCTACCCACACCCCAACCTTCTTCTTCCTTTTACCTTCTGTTTGGCATGGGTTTGGAGGTTGGTATGGCTGTGAAATTGCTCAAAAAAACGAAAGTACCGTACCGAGAAAATAATGTAAAAGAATTGAACCGAACGGTCGGTACGGTGTTTGGGAATGGTACGAGTTAACGTCCTATTTCGAAAATCTCTAGCCGAATATATTTATACTACTCCCTCCGTTTGGAAAAACCCTTCCCATTTGATTTGGGGACAAAAATAAAGAAGTGTTAAATTATAGTTGATTTCCAATTTTGCCCCTGATGTGATGGGTAAAAGTAAGATGTGATGGATAGATTATTAGAGAAAAAGTATGATGTGATAGGTAGGGTATGAAAAAGTAAGGGTAAAAGTGGTTTTTTAATAGAAGGGGAAGTGTTTTGTTAGAAGTGGAAAAAATGAAAGAGAAAGTGTTTTTGAGAACGGAGGGAGTAATATATAATGAAAATAATGATCTATTTACATTCTTTCGTTACATAATAAATTTATTTTAAAAAAATTGGTTCAAGTTTTACTATGTGTAAGTTTTACATTTATTCGATTTTTAGTTTTTTAGTAGATGAATTTAAAAATATTAACAAACATTCCAAATGCTATTTTGTTATCTTTCAATCACAAAGTTTTAATAAATATTTCTTGCACGGGAAAAACACTAAACTAAGAGTAAAATATAGGAAAAATATCAAAATATGAGTTCAATATTGTTTATCTCAAAATATCTGTTATTTATACAATGCTAACAATACAACAACAACCAAGTAGATACCCACGAAAGCAGGGCATGGAGAAGGCGCTTGTACGCAAACCTTACCCTACTAAAAATAGAGATGTTGTTTCCAAGAAACACCCAGCTCAAACAGCACAAAAAAACAAGTAGCACGACAAGAGAATGGAGTACACATAGGGATTGTTGGAAACAATCTTTTATTATAACTTGAAAATTACTCAAAACCAATTACAATAAACTCTCATATGTTTCTTATATCATAACCCAAGCTTGGCTAATATATATATATATAGAACTAATTAAGCTTAGGACCCATAATTCTATTTCTACTTGAACTAAAACATCTCAGGCAACCTAATCCTACTCGATAATTAGTCAACAGGGACAAGGTACCTAGCCAACTGAAAAAAATGTCAAGCCAACACAACACACAACACGAACAAGACTAGCACTCTAGACTAAACAACTGCCCAACTATTATATTTCAAGATCCCCATACGTCCCTATCTAAGTTCCAATTTTTCCTAGGTCTACCCCTACCCCTGCACCCTCCAACTACTGAAAGCCTCTTGCATCACCGCACCGGAGCCTCAGGTGCACGCCTTCTCACATTACCAAACCATCTTAACCTAACATTTCGAAGCTTATCCTCCACCGATGTCACTCTTACCCGTCTCTGAATAACCTCATTCTGGATTGTATCCCACGGTGTTTGCCCACACATCCACCGTAGCATCCGCATTTCTGCTGCATGCAGTTGACGAATGTGGGCTTTCTTAAAATGTTTTATTCCAATTTTAGGTGTTTTCTTTTCTTGCATTGAATTATAAATTTTTTAATTGTTTTTATATTTTTTTTTGTTTAAATCTACTTTAAAAAACAAATTTTGTTACATTTTAAAGTATAAACTATATAGATGTGTATCAATTTCAATTTGTTTAATGCCTATATTCTAATCAAAGTAGTCTTTTAGATTTAGGATTAAGATTGGGGTGGGTGGATGGGGAATTATGACAAAAGGGAAGAAGTAAGAAAGGATTTGAAATGAAAAAAACAGTGGGAATGATGAGATTCGATCTGGTGAGTAATGATAGCAGGAGAAGGCTAGAAGCACAAGAAGATGAAGGTGAATGATTCCAAGCAAGAAAGAAGAAAAGGGGGTTTTCAAAAGTGTGAATTGACTGACAAGCCATTTTATGGTACTCCATTTTTAGGGCAGAGAAGTTGCCATCGGACCCCTCTCTCCACTCCACGTTTAAAGATGGGGAAACAACAAAGCTGATTTCTTGTCAGTGTCGCGTGCTCCCTCACACCTCTCTCTCTCTTTCTTTCTTTTATCGTCTCTCAGAACATTTATAGCGGACAAGAGAAAAGAGACACTGTAAATTTGTGTCGCTCTATACTGGGCTTATTCCTGCTTGCTCCACTGGTGAGTGCAAAGCGCCGATTTTTGGCCTCTTGTCCCTATCTTTTCTCTCTATTCCTTCAATTTCTTTTCTTTTCCCCCCTTTGGTGGGCGCCAATGCATTGCCCACTCTTTCTTGGCTTGTCCCCGAGTTTTGATCTTGATAGGTTTTCTGCAGGGTGGGTTTGGCAGTATTCCGTTCTCATCAATTGCCCAGATTCAGCTCATCAGGCATCTTTTCTCGAAGCTATAAACCTCAGGTGACGTTTTTAGGTGTTAATTCTTCCCCAATGCTCCGTATTTATAGATAGTAAGCTCTGGGTGTTTCAATTTTTTGCCAGAGTTTTCAGTAGTATTTTCACTTTCTTTTATTGCCCCGTATCTGTTTGCTGAAATGTTTCTTTGAGCTGCCGAGATTCGATCCCTGAGATATTATTGCTGGGAGTTGGTGTTTGGCCTACCTCTTTCTGTTTTATGATTATTTCTTCACTCATTTTCTTTTCCAGCTCTGTAAAAAACCACAGACAGGAATATTCTCTGTCCCCCCGCTGTGGCTGGTTCTTCAAGATATATGAAGATGCTGTTCTCTGTTGCAGGTATTCAACTACTGAGTAATTTTTGAAGGGGGAAAGAAAAGAAAATAATGCAGAAAGCAATTTTTCTTGTTTGGTTAGAGAGGAAAAGAAAATGAGAGAAATCTTTTTCTTTTATGCTGTTAAAGAGAGGGAAATATATGCAAAATTTGGTAAGGGAAAGTAGTGGGAGTGGAGTCATTGGCATTTGATTCTAGTGTGTGTATCTCTGGTTTTGAGAATAATTTAGTGCTATGCCAGCCTCATGGGCTAACCAGAAGGGGTCCCATATCTTAGGGTATTATTACCCTCAGTTTGAAGCTCATAAAGGGTATATAATTGCTTCCACTGAGAAATTTGGCTCCCCACACTGTCCAACTTTGGGGGTGCCCATTTATGAGTGCAGGGTAGTTTGAGTTCTAAAGTGAAATATAGCATGGGAGCATAACTCTTGAAGTTTGGAAGGAGAAGCCGATTGTTGATTGCCAAGATGAAGTTTATGAAACTTGGATCCAAGCCCGATTGCTTTCACTCAGCAGGAAACAATGTCAGGTGAGATTTTTTTGCCACGACTTTGCCCGGCTGTTGTTTTGTCAACTCTAGAATCTTCTTCCCATTTTTTACTCCATGTCGTTAGCAATGTCTAAGTGTTGAAGTAGATTTAACTGCTAGCTTTTATATTCAATATGGTAAAGAAGCTTCTTAAAAGCTCTTAGTTGTGTGTTTGGTAAGGAAGCTATGCTTCCATGATCCTAAGGTCCATATGTGAAATGTGAACCTCTCACACTGTGAGTGGGCTGACCTAGGGATTTTTTATTTTTTTCGAAGAGCCCAATTCATCCATGGTGCTTATATTCTAAGGTCCATAAAATGAGTGTGAACCTTAAAACCATGGAAGAATTTTCCTTGGTGTTGTGGTGTGGTGTGGCAAGGAACTTTTTTCTTGGAGCAGAAACAAAAAGATCTTCATATTTTTTCCTTTTAGACATTATCATGCTCTTAGTTTACATTACTACTTTTGGACACTTTCTGTTTTCTTTAGGTTTCTCATCTCTTGTTTTCCATTTTCTTTTTTTATGATTATTTATATTTGATACTTGGGTAACATTTAGTAACACTTTCACGTTTCTAATTAATACTCCGTATTATACTCTATACATTTTAGTCATTTTACAGTTTCAGCTATTTACAAGTTACAACATCAAGTTTTGCTAAACAGAGCTATTTTGAACAACCAGTTTTTATGAAATAGCTAGTCTTTTTTTTTCACTTATGATTTATGGGCTTCTTAGCTACCAAAAATTCAAAAGCAGCAGGCTTTTCAGCTAGTCTCACCACTAAAACACCAAAGCAGTTTGCTGACTGTTCTTGTTGTCACATGATCTGTATACGGTTTGAATGCGCACAAGAATTTTTCCACAAAATGAATGAACGCCCCGAAACTGTAAACCTCGAATTAGAATTTCATTGTATGTCCGTTATTTGATTTTTTCCTATCTCTTGTGAACAATATAATCTTTATTTCCTTAAGTTTAATTTCCTTTTGCGAATTTCTGTAAATATTGGATGCAGATACATTGCTTCTGATTTGGCATCAGACATCATCATTTTCGTAGGAGAAGTGAAGTTTTACCTGCATAAGGTAAAATAACCAGGCAAAATGAACTTCATATATGGATAATATTGCTTTCTTAGACATCTGATGTCATTAAAATAATAATATGAGTTCTGTTCTGCAGTTCCCACTTCTTTCAAAGAGTTCGCTCTTGCAAAAACTCATCGCGAAGTCAGTTGAAGGAAACGGTGAGGTCCACCTTGACGAAATCCCTGGCGGGCCCGCGGCTTTTGAAATATGTGCCAAGTTTTGCTACAGTGTCGCTGTCACGCTGAATGCGCACAATGTGATTGCAGCCCGTTGTGCTGCAGAGTATTTAGGAATGCACGAAAACGTTGATAAAGGGAACCTTGTTTACAAGATTGATGTTTTCTTGAGCACAAGCATTTTCAGGAGCTGGAAAGATTCCATAATTGCCCTTCAGACCATGAAGTCTCCACAACTGCCTTTGTGTGAGGAACTGAAGCTGTTCAGCCACTGCGTCGACTCCATAGCTTCCAAGGCATCTGCTGACGTGTCAAGGGTTGATTGGTCCTATACCTATAACCGAAACAAGGCCTCGGATGAGATTGGCTTGAGAAACAGAGTAGTGCCAAAGGATTGGTGGGTGGAGGACTTGTCTGAGCTTGATGTTGATTTATATAAACAGGTCATTGTCACCATCAAGAAAAAAGGGATAGTTCCAAATGCAGTGATTGGAGAAGCTCTGAAAACTTATGCTTCAAGACGGCTGCAAGGCTACCACGAAAAGGGCGCAGAATTCGATGCTTCCAAATATCAATCCGTATTGGATACAATCTTGACTCTTTTACCCCCGGAGAAGGGCAGCGTCTCCACCAGCTTCTTGCTTAAACTGTTGAAAGCGTACATTTCACTTGGTTCAGGAGAAACGTCTCAGAAAGAACTGATAAAGAGAATAGGCCTCCAACTGGAGGAGGCTTCTATCAATGATCTTCTGATCAGAACCTCAGACATGGAACCAAAAACCATGTACAATGTAGATGTAGTCCAGACAATATTAAGAGAGTTCATGACATCCAACCAGGAGGAACCCAGAACTGAACCAGAAGCCCGCGACGAGATTCAGGAGGTCAGAAAGAAGCCTTCTGGTGTTTTGACTGAAGCTTCAAAGCTGATGGTGGCAAAGTTGGTCGACGGTTACCTTGCTGAGATCGCCAAAGATCCCAATCTTTCTTGTTCAACCTTCATTGGTTTGGCAGAGATGGTGGCTAGTTTTCCCCGGCCTGCCCATGATGGCCTTTACCGGGCAATCGACATGTACCTCAAGGTAGTGTTTGGCAACTAGCATTTCATTTCAATTCATGCATTTCAATTCCAAAATTTGAAATCCTGAATTTCAAATGACTAGAGGAGGTGCATGAATTTCAAATTAAGCTTTGTTTTGAATGTAAAGAATTTGATTCAAATCCAAATTCAAAATGCTTAAGTTTCCCAAACATGGAATTTAAGTCAAATCCGGATTTAAAATCCAAATCCATGTTCCCAAACATACCACAAGGTAATTTTGTTTTGTTTAGATTCATTTGGGCACCTTACAGTGCTCCGTTTGTTGACAACGTGGTTCCTAAATCTATGTACTCCCTTCATTCCGT